AGGACGATGGGCTCGATATTTGGTTGGAGAACATGTTGGAGGAGCCATCTAGTCCGATTTATCGACCATCATGCGTACGAGACTGGCCGGAAGGATGTGGTCCATGGGCTAAATTTAAGATCAAGAAGCGCAAGACCAAACGAGCACAAAGGAAACGCAAGGCGAAGGCTAAGGAATCATGTTGTTGGTGTAAGCCTTGTACAAGGAAGAGACGAGCACGAAAGAAGGAGGCTAGGAGACGTGGGTTGCAAAGGGTTGAAGGAGGATGGTGGATACCGACGGAGGATTGTGAGAGGTTGAAAGGTTGGGACCCATGGCCCGAACCAACGACGACGATCGCCGACGAGAAGGGCGACGGCGATCGACCAATGGGCGAATGGCGCGCATCGGCCCATGATGCGCGCGGGTGGACGGAACAGGACGACGTACGTAGGAGTTCGGTTGGCAGGCGAGTCGCGGACGTCGACTTGGACGCATTGGCGTTCGGGGGCGTAGCGACAGGGCGCGATAGGCGCGCGGGTGAGCAGTCCGCCAGCAGTGGAAATGCGTGCGACGCAGCGGGCGCACAAGGATGCGCGGGAGGCGATCAGAGCCCGCGGGCGATGGATGCGATGCGCAAAGGAGCAGGCGCGGTAGGGCACGCCGTAGGCAATTGGTGCGCGGACGGTGGCTGGGATGCGCGCGGGGTGATCGGAAGTGACGACGGGCGCGCGATAGCGCGCGAATGCACAACAAGCGCGGGCGTCCTAATCCGCGGAGAAGTAGGCAGGCCGGGTGATGAGGTACACGCGCAAAAAGGGGTCGGCGCCCAACAGGGATGCGCGTTAGATGACGCGTGCGAGGGAAGCGGACGAGGCCTATGCCTCGAAGGAGTCGGGGTGGCGAGCGCACACGCGCGGGAAGCATGCGACACGGGTGAAGGGCGCGAGATTGACAGCGGGTGCGGGGCGCGCACGAGCGAAGCCGTGCGCGAGCGAAATTAGAAAAGCCGTGAGGCAGCGGGCGTGAGTAAGGCGGTCGAGTACTTGGGGCGTGTGGATTGATTTGTTTGGAGTGCAAGCCAAGCAAAATCAAG